GGTTGCATGAGTTTGGAGCTGTGATACGTGGTTCAGTTGCAAGGAGTTCGGTAGCTGTATTTCAGGAGGCACTGGAGGTAAAAGCGAGTTAGGACCCACGTGAGGGATGAACCTGGCAGTGGGATCTGAACTCTTTGAGAGGGCCCTGAGAGCAACAGAATCACAGAATCAACCAGGTTGAAAAAGAGCTTTAAGATCAAGGCCAACCATTACCCCAGGACTGCAAAGACCACCACTAACCCATGGCACTGAGGGCCTCATCTACATGTTTTTTAGGATAAGATTGTCCCTTTGGTGGGAGAAGGTCAAGAGGGAGATAAAAGGGCACTAATACCTGTGGTGCTGAGGGTGGTCAGGCTCGTGGAGCCATGCTCAGCTCCAGCATGCCCACTGTGTCTGACCCAGCTGCATTTCATCCATACATCCTCCTGATGTTCCAAGCACAGGCCTTTCCCTGTGAAAGACTATTTAGGAAAACCAGCAAGCTGTTGTGATAATGGGAAACAGATGCCCCAAATGACATAGCAGCCAGAAGCAGTTGTGTCTGTATGGATCTGAAGGTGCAAGGAACAGTGTTTTTCACTGCTAATGGTGTTAAAAATCCAGCTGAACATCTTGGTGAGAAGCAGGCTTCTAACGCTTGTGAGAGGATCTTTATAATAGCAGGGTCTGCTCAAACTTCCTGCAGTACTGCCTTTTGGAACCAGATTTGGTACCATAGCAAGGGGGTGCCTTAGTGAGGAGGTCAGGGAAGGCAAAGCAGATGGAAAGCTCTCTCATGGAGTCAGTGCTGTCAGCCCTAGGAAAAGTGTAAACCTGTAACATAAACAGCACATCCCAGCCTGCCTGCTTTGAGAGACTGAAATGTGCCTTGTGTTGGGTTTGACATCACTGGCCTAGAAACAAGCTGTGGGGCCCTGCAGCTCTCTCGGGGTAACTCTTTGACTTGGTCAAATGACTCTGAATTACTTGGAAATCGTGGTGCAATCCTATTTGTCAGGTTTGAGGCCAAATTCAAACTTAAACAGGGGAGATTTAGGTTGGATACAAGGAAAAAGTTCTTCCCTGTGAGGGTGCTGAGGCGCTGGCGCAGGGTGCCCAGAGAAGCTGTGGCTGCCCCATCCCTGGCAGTGTTCAAGGCCAGGTTGGACACAGGGGCTTGGAGCAAGCTGCTCTAGGGGAAGGTGTTCTAGGGGTTGGGACTGGATGAGCTTTAAGCTCCCTTCCAACACAAAGCACTCTAGGTTTTTATCTTAACCATACTCCAAGGCTGCTGATGCTGATGCCGGACTGTGTGTTCCCCATGCTGTCTCTTCGTTATTGCCACGCCACTAAAAGTTTTGTGTCAAGACCCCCTTGCAGAGGGAGATCCAAGAGCTTCGAAGCCTGAATTGTTGGGTAAGTTGGAGGCAGCATCTTAAACATTGAGTCATGGAATCACAAACAGCTTCTCTGGGCAACCTGTGCCAGCGTCTCAGCACCCTCACAGTGGGACTTGTGTCGGGACACCTTGAAGCCTGTCATGGTTTCATGTGAGGGTGGTGTTCTGGGAAGGAGCAGGGCTGGTTGAGGAGTGATTTAGGGCAGGTGTGATGGGAACAGGTCCTCATGCACACTGCAGGGAGCTGGCCTGGTCCCTGGGTGGGAGCAGAGATGGCTGGATCATGACAGGGGTCCCATAGCGCGATCCCTCTGCCTGCAGAGGCTTGGTTGGACTTTCCCCTGTGCTGGAGGATTTCAGCAGTTTTCAATGCAGAGACATTGTAGTCATTGCTGCAGGAGTGCAGAATGTGGGCAGCTGGGGGGTGCTGCCATTGATTGTCTTTGTTTTGCACAGTGAGTCATGGAACCTGGTGTGTTTTACAGTGGTTTCTCCTGGCTCGCCGTCGTGTGCTCCCTCCCTTCGTTACCGTGTCACAGTCGCATCCTTCCCCAGGTCCAAAGCAAGGGCCTCCTTCAGCCGCTGTCGGAGCGAGCCGCAGCTAACTCCTGCCACCTGCCGTCTCCTCCTTTGCTCTTCACTGCATTAACATCCCAGTTTCTTTGGGACAAAGGAGATGGAGCTGCCCCATCGCTTGCGGTGAACTGCTGAGCATTGCTCTGCAGCCACCCAGCTTTTAGCATCACAGAATCCCAGCCTGGTTTGTGTTGGAAGGGAGCTTAAAGCTCTTCCAGTTCCAACCCCTGGAACGGGCAGAGACACCTTCCACTAGAGCAGGTTGGATTAGGTGGAGTCCAGCTGGATTAACTGTGTGGTTTGTGCTGCAGCATCCTCATGGCGACCGTGCCAGGCTTCCTGCTCATGCCACCTGAATGTCTCCGGCTCATCCCACCATGAGCTACAAGTGCTGCAGGAATCTGGTAAACTTGTATGGTTCTGGCAGACTGTTTCCTGGGGAGCTCTGCCTTGGCCATGGTTTAACATCCACCGTTAACCCAGGTTATAGAGCATGAGGCTTCTTCTTACAGCTCTGCTACAAAACTCCTTCCAGGATGTCAAAAATCCCTGGGATATAGGTGGGAATTTCTGCAGGAGTGACTCAGAATAGGCCTAGGCTCGCAGAGAGGGGGTTTCCTTTATGTTAAAAAGGAGGAAAAGGGGAGGGGATTTGAGTATATTCCACCCACCTTTGGCATAGAAGCCGTGCTACAGTAAACAAACCCCACAAACACCAAACGCAAACCCCATCCTTGGTGGATCATTCCCCTCCTGTTAAACTTACTCTGTTGCTGCTGAGTAGATGTCTTTGCAAAAAGGTCCTCTCCTCAGCCTTGCCCCATCTCCCTCCCTTCACCTCTCACACGCCCTCTGAACCTCATGGGTTAACTTCTTCTCCCAAGCCAACTGCTAACACCTATCAGCACGAAGCAGGTACAGCATCAAAGAGCCAGAAGCAGCTCTGCCCAGCTTTAGCTCAGGTTTAGCCCAGTGCTGTATTTCCATTTGTGTCAGTAAACTCAATGTTCTCGACTGAAGGTTTTGCACCAAAGTGTTTTGAGTAATCACAGTTAATTTCCTGAATAGGTAGGATTAATTATCAGCTGCCTCTTGTTTGTAGATGCCATAGTTACAGAGCTGAGCTGCTTCTGTTGATGACTGTGTGCGTACAAAGGAAGTGTACTCGAGCTGTCAGTGGTGAAAGAGCAGATAATAAGGAGCGAAAGAAAAGAATATTAATTGAGCCATTACCAGTTTCAAGATGTACTTAAGCAGTTGGGTAAGTAAATGCTACAGTGAGGCATGGTAGAGGGAGGAAGCTGTGGCTGCCCCATCCCTGCAGTGTTCAAGGCCAGGTTGGACACAGGGGCTTGGAGCAAGCTGCTCTAGTGGAAGATGTCCCTGCCCGTGGCCTATCCCAGTAAGTAGTTTCATGAGACATCAGAAGTGACTGCCTGAGCACCCCCTTGCTCCCAAGCACATGCATAACTGCAAATAAATATCTGTATCTATGCTGTGAATGTAACTGCTTCAGCAAAGCATAAAATCCCCACATGCAATGTGTTCTTACTGTTGGTAAATTGTTCAGTAATTCACTGGGGGTTGTTCATACGAAGGGGTTTGGTGTGTCCCAGGAAGCAGCTTGCACCAGACCCTGCCACATCAGGGCATGCAGCCTGTGTTCCATTATCAGGGCTACTTCCAGGGCAGCTCCTGCATCCCTCAGCTGCGTCACTGCACACAGTTTGGTGTCACACCACAGCCTGGGGCTTCTGTGGTCTTATTATACAGGAGCTGAAACGCTTCTGCAAAACCTAAGGCTGAGGTGGTTGTTGTTCATGCCATGAAATTTGGATTTTAATCAGATTCCCTGGTCAGGGGGTAGGAGGTCTCAGTGCTTCAAAGTGTCAGGTCACTGCCCAAACAGGGGAGGCTATCTTGGTTTTGAGCCTGTTTGGTCTTCTGTTTGCTGCAGCCTCACACGTTAATAATGCAGGCCCAGCTCAGCAATGGCACCTTCATGTTAGCAGTTATCTCCAAGACCTCTTCTACCTGTGATTCTCTTCTGCGGTGTTTGGTGTTTGTTTTCCCCTTCTCATTCATCCCTTGGTCGCCCTGTATTGAATCTCTGAGTGCATGTATGGACTCGCAGCAGGGAAGGGGACTAAGCTGAGATACACTTTACAAGTGGACACAGGCTCTCTCATTTCTTTCATGGTTTTGTGCATTGCTTTCAGATGTGGCAGAAGTTTGCCTTGTTTCATCTCTACACTTCACCTGCCTCCCCATGCAGTTAGAAGCACACTGCATGCTCTGCAGAGCAGAGGGAGATCTTTGGACTTAAGAGTGGGGGAAGCAGTGAGGAAGGATGGAGAAATGCATGACCAGGGTTGTAGCTTGATATCACACCCAACAGGCCAAAAGAATTGGGAGAACATTGGGAATGGGGAGAGGCACGTGCCCTGGGGGGAGGGAGAACTCAGCTCCCACTGCAAGTGAGACGAACCTTCAGACTTCCAAAGGCAAGGAAGTTCATCCTGAGCGCAGCTGTGCTCCACTTGGCTTAGCTGGAATGTGGTCTTTATATGGGATCCAAATGCCCAAGCAAAGGAGGCCAACCTGCTTATTTTCAGGGTTTATGAGGGGTGTCACTTGCTGAAGTGTCCAGGGTGACTTCAGCCACCAGTTGCAGCAGCCAAGTTCTGACACCGTAAGGAAATGGGTGTATAATGGAAAAGGTGACAGAAGGTTTAGGGCCTTTTTAACACCTTTGAAACAGTTCTCCGCTCGCAGCCCGTGGCAGGGGTTGGAACTGGATGAGCGTTAAGGTCCCTTCCAACCCAAACCAGGCTGGGATTCTGTGCATGCCAATAGAAGCCTAGGGGGTAAATGTACCTCACTGCAGAGTCCTGCTTGCGTGCAGTAGGAATACACCAGGGAGAGCTCCAGTAAACACAGCCCCATGGCTCCTGCACCGAGCCGGATGCGCTGTGGGCAGCGCGAACGTGACCCGCACACACTGAGAGCCTCTCTTGACGCGCGGCGTGTGTTCTGTTCGCAGCTTCGACGTGGAGAATGGCCCGTCCCCAGGGCGCAGCCCCCTGGACCCGCAGGCCAGCTCCTCCTCGGGGCTCGTATTGCACACCACGTTCCCGGGCCACAGCCAGCGCCGGGAGTCGTTCCTCTACAGATCCGACAGCGACTATGACTTATCACCAAAGACCATGTCCAGGAACTCCTCTCTCCCAAGCGAGCAGTAAGCATCCAGCCAGCTCACCTCATATTTTATGGGAACTGAGAGGTTTAGATGGCCTCCTGTAATCCTCAGGGCTCTGGTAAGAGGAGCTTGTGGGTGGTACTCGCGTTTCACAGCCTGAGTGCCCAAGACGGCTGCTTTTATGGTCTGCCAAGGCATGATTTCCCCCTCCCCACCCACCCTGAAAGTATTCCCCTTTTCTCCATAATTTAGCAGCAGTTTTCCAGCCCATATCCTGAAATAATAATAGAAATCTTGCATTTTACCTTTCTTGGTACCAGTTCTTCACCTGGGGATTTGGGGGGGGGGGGGTGAGGTATGAAGTGCTTGCAGCTAACTGCAGGGCAGGCACTGCTGTGAGGTCCTTTTGTCTCCATTGGACCTGGAGTCAGAGGAACCCTGTCACTCCAGTCCTTGGCTTGCTCGCACTCCCTTTTTGCCATCATACTCTCAGTGCGTGCTGTCAGAGCCTGGTTAACATCATCTCTGCTCTTTCCTCCATTAGGCTGGACAAGAGGAATATGACTGTACTTACATTTACAGTATTGCTCTTCTCCATCCTGTTTTCTGTCATGGGCTGTTAACTAGAGCTGAGCGGAAAATACAGCAGAGAGCCCAGACAGATGGCTGAGCTTGAGAGGATCAATACAACAGAGCATGGAGCTTAAAGGGGTGTCCTAGATTTGCAGCCCTTTATTCTAAAAGGCCCAGTTTAAAGCTTTAAAGTGGCCATTAAGGTATAAAAAGAGGTTTCTGGTATGAAAGCCCTACAAGCTTTGTCATGAAGTAGAAATCCAGATACTAGAATGTTCCTCCTGTTAGTTAACAATTAGTAGATGCTTACCAGAGACCAAGTAATCACTCCAAATTATGCAAATGCCATGTTTTGTGTAAACAGGGGATTGTAACAGTTGCCCAGTGCTCCCAGCCAGCTGTGCTGGGGTGGGGGGAGCCCCGTCCAGATGTGCCCACCACCCTGGTTGCTCCCAGCTTCACAGCTGCCTGCAGTTCAGCAGATCCATTTACTGCAGGGTAAAGGCTCCTGTAGCACTTGGGGAGCTGCGGCCTCCCAGTATGAATTCTCCAGTTGAAAGCAGCCTTCCAGTGTCTGAAGGGGGGGGACAAGGATGCTGGAGAGGGGCTCTTCATCAGGGGCTGTAGTGATAGGACAAGGGGTGATGGGTTCAAACTGAAACAGGGGAAGCTCAGGTTGGAGATAAGGAAGAAGTTCTTTGCTGTGAGGGTGCTGAGGCGCTGGCACAGGGTGCCCAGAGAAGCTGTGGCTGCCCCAGCCCTGGCAGTGTTCAAGCAACCTGGTCTAGTTCCTTTAGGGATGGGGCAGCCACAGCTTCTCTGGGCACCCTGTGCCAGTGCCTCAGCACCCTCACAGGGAAGAGCTTCTGCCTAAGAGCTCAGCTCAGTCTCCCCTCTGGCAGGTTAAAGCCATTCATTCCCCTTGGCCTGTCCCTACAGGCCCTTGTCCCAAGCCCCTCTCCTGGTTTCCTGGAGCCCCTTTAGGCACTGGAAAATCTTCCATGATGAAAACAGCCAGACAGAACCCAGCGCCTGAATAACATTAAAGTCTGTGACAGAGATCAGCAAATGCCAGGAAATTCAAAGCTGACCTTTCCCTGGACTCTTACAGGGTTTTTTCCACCACGGTGCAAGCGTGTGCCTTAACTTCTCTATTTCCTGCCTTTTATTGCCTGGAGTTACCAATCCGAACAGGCTCTCCAGCCGGGTTGTTTTGGATGTACACTGCAAAGACCTTTCCATTAGGAGCAAGGTTTTTATGTGGTGTTAAATACGTGCTGTATGAGTTAAAGTATAGGGTTTTGGGTGAAAACTCACTCTCTATACTCAAAGTGACCTGTCTGGGGTAAATTCACACATTTCCCTTTCTCCTTAGGCATGGGGACGACCTGATCGTCACGCCTTTCGCCCAGGTGAGTCGGAGACCTCTTAAACCAATGCAAAACCACGCGAAAACCTCAGGTGGGGAAGGTAACACCTCTGCTTTCGCCTCCCCCCATAGGTGCTGGCCAGCCTACGAAGCGTGAGGAACAACTTCACGCTCCTTACCAACCTACACGGCACCTCCAACAAGTAAGCAAGTATTTCTTAGGTCCTTTATGGTTATCGCTTAGCAGGGGCCGAGCAGGGACGGCGAGGGGGAGTCGGGGAACCGCGGCCGCGGTTCCCCGGCTCCCCCTCGCCGCCGCTGCTCGGCCTGCGCTTCCCGATGCTGGACGCCAGGCGGCGCCAAAGCGCAGCCCTCCGCCGCGCCTCACCTCGGGTCTCGCCGCAGTGGTCCTCGAGGATGGAGCGATGCATTTCCACTTGGGAAGGCGATGGGATGTGTTCCAGGGCACGGTGGGATGTGCGGCACTTTGGGTGGCCCAGGTGTGTGTGTTAGGCGCATAATTGCGAGCGGAGGTCGAGATGTGGTGCTGGCTCTGCGTTGGCAGCAAGAGAGGTGGTCACAGGCAAAGGAGGGAGATGCCAAGCAGGAGGATGTGGGGAAGGGGAGGATTTCACCCAGGGCTTGGGTCTGAGGGGGATGCCCAGAGAGGCAGGCAGGGAGCCCACCTCTCTTCATTTCAGGCTGTAATTGCACTGAATGTAGCAGGTGATGAACGTAAGACGAAGGTGTGTTTTTATACTTGCTCAACAGGAGAAACCAAACAAACTCCTTTTTACGCCTGTGTCCAGAACCATCATTTCCCCGTAGCTATTTATAATGAGCCAGTCACCGTCATTTTCTAGCCTGTTTTGCCCCAGGAGAGCTGTTCTGTGTGAAACCAACATCACTTGTTCCTGCTGACGTTGGTTACACACCCATCCATTCATCCATCCATCCATCCATCCATCCATCCATCCATCCATCCCACCCTGGGGCTGCTCATCCAGAGCATCCCTCTCTTTCTTGAAGCAGAAGATGAGGTGCAAAAGTGGACTCCACCGGGACACCATGGTATTGCTTCAGTACTGCACATGGAGATGGCATCGCCTGGGTGCCCACCATGGACTCAGGTTTCCGCCTTCCAGTGCACTCTTATGTGTTACATGAAGGCCAGCACTTTGTCCAGGCGTTTTTCCTCCTGTTGATTTCTCCTTGCAAACCCTGATGGGAAGGAGCCTCTGCATTCCAAGATGGAAGTTAATAGAAAAAGAGATGGCTGAGGTAGATCCCTTCTTCCAGCTTTGCTGAGGAACTCCAGCATTTCAGCAGCTCCTAATGAGGAATCTGAAATCGGACAGGGCCGGAAGGAAGCGAAGGCGTAACCTGTAGGATGCACAGGCATCTTGCAGTGTCCTTTTGAAAGCATTCCCAGGTTTGACTGAGCTATAAAGTCACTTGCCCAGCCAAAGTCAGAGTCGTGAAATGTTTAAACCATTATAGACCAAACATCCAAGTCCGTGGCAGAATGTGCTTCCAGGCGCTGCGGAGCTTCCCGCACTGTTTCCAAACAGCTCTGCTGGGTTACAGCTCATTATTTTATCATATGTCTCATGATACGTGGTATTTCACTTCAGCTTCTGCTCTGGGGATCATGAGAGCCTCAGCTTTGCTGCAGCCCGGCCTCTCCTCTCTTTTTCCTCCTGTCCCAAGAAAGAAAGAGGATGCTGTCCCACGTATTTGCAGAAATGATGGAAAATATGAATGTTGAGGGCTGGAGGGGAAAAAAAAACTAATTAGAAGTCGTATTTTTTGGACTTCAGCATCAGGGGTTTTCAAGCAGTTTCCCGATTGGAATAGGGGAGAGTATGATTAATGGGTTTGGAGTGCCTGAGTTTGGCAGATGCGGCACAAGACATGGTCAGAAAGCATCCAGCACCTACTCCTCTGAATGCCCACTGGCAAGAGAGAAAGAATGGGGAGTGCGAGCCATGTCCACTTGAGCGTGGTGGTGTTTAAGGTGGGACAGTGCTGTGGAGACCCAGATCAACATAGAAAGGACATGGAGCTGTTGGAGCAAGTCCAGAGGAGGCCACGAGGATGATCAGGGGCTGGAGCACCTCCTGTATGAAGACAGGCTGAGGAAGTTGGGGCTGTTCAGCCTGGAGAAGAGAAGCTGTGTGGAGACCTCAGAGCAGCTTCCAGTATCTGAAGGGGGGCTATAGGGATGCTGGGGAGGGACTCTTCATTAGGGACTGTAGTGACAGGACAAGGGGCAACGGGTTCAAACTGAAGGAGGGGAAGTTCAGGTCGGAGATAAGGAGGAAGCTCTTCCCTGTGAGGGTGCTGAGGCGCTGGCACAGGGTGCCCAGAGAAGCTGTGCCTGCCCCATCCCTGGCAGTGTTCAGGGCCAGGTTGGACACAGGGGCTTGGAGCAAGCTGCTCTAGTGGAAGGTGTCCCTGCCCATGGCAGGGGTTGGAACTGGATGATCTTAAGGTCCCTTCCAACCTTCATTGATTCCATGATTCCATCTCTGGGTCTCTGTTACCTGCACCCTGGCTGCCGCAGAAACCAGGATGGGCACAGCTGGGACGTAGTAGGAGGATGCCAGGAGCGGTGCCGTTCCCTTTTCCAGGTTTCCAGGCTCTGCAGTGGGGAATACCCTGCTGGATTCGTGTTCATCCCTCCCCGCCTCCCCGTGGGCATGCCTGTGCAGCTCGCGCGGGGTTTGGAGATACCTGGAGCACGTCTCCCCAGATACTGGAAGCGCTGCAGCCGTGGTGTCCCCATTGGGGAGTTTCTGTTTTTGAGAGATCTCAAGATCTGGCTTTTCAAAGGCTCAGCAGAGGCAGGTCAGGGCAGATTTTAGAGCAGTCAGCATCCAACCTGTGCGCCCTGTGCTGAACCCTTCGAAGAATCTGGGTCCTGCAGCTCCCTCCGTTAAAAACAAGCTTTCCAAATGCCAGCTGGCACATGGGTGCTGCTGCTCCGGAGCAGGCTTTGGACACTGGCACGGGCTGTACCTGGTTAGTGAGGCCTTCCTGGGGCAGGGCTGAGGAAACCCCTGGAGCTACAACTGCAGCAGGATTGAGCCGCTCGCTTGCTTTGATTTGAGCTTCAAAGGCGAGCTGGCAAATAATGGATGTTTCAGCTCGGTGCCTGGCTCAAAAAATGGGGGTGAGGAGGTTGGCTGGGAGGGAGTTGGGGGGGATCTGCCTTTGGTTAAAACATTATCAGGGACTTCGGAAGGAAGGAAAAGCCCAAAGTTTTGGTTTTGGCCAGCCTGAAATACCGTGTTCGGTGCAAAACAAAGGATCTTCATCTTGGTGTCAACTCCGTTCAAGTTCTTGTTGTAAAGAAGTCTCCTTTTTTCCACAAGTAAATTGTGGTTTTGACTTTGAAATCATGAGTTTTATTTGGCAAACCTCTCAGTGAAATCCTCTGACATGTGGAGAGATGCTGCAGCCATTTTCCAGTCAGACCCCGTTGCCCACAACTAATTCTTCAATTAGCATTTGAAATCCAGACTTTCCCGATGAAATCATTGCTCCTCATCAAGAAGATGTCCTTCAGCTGCTTCAGAGCTTTCTTAGTGGCTCCAGCGTCCCCTTACTTGCTTCCAGGTGCAGCTCAAACTGTTAACTGCAAGGTTTAAAGCCATTTCTCAGCTATGGCATTGCCCTCTGCATTGCAGCCTGCATGCTTGTGTAGATTCTGATGTTACTTCAGGGTCCAGACCTTGCGGGGAGAAGCTGTTTGGGAGAAGGCCTTGATTCTGGGGCTGCCACTGAATCCTTCAGCCACAGAGGCTGGGCCTTGCCTCCTCCCAGGCACATTTTGAGCAGGAATTGTGAAGGCAGCACGAGATGATGGCACATCTTCCCTGGAATTCCTTCTTCCCAAGGGATGTCCCTGGCTAGGTGTATTCTAACAGGTCTGTCAATAGTGCTCTTTAACTGCCAGATCTTGAAGTGTTTGGGGTTTCTTTGTGAATCTGGAAGAGGATTTTGGACTGTGGGAGGTGGCAGTTTGAAATGGTAAAACATTGCCTATTGATGGAGTGTCCTTTATCTCTTTTAGGAGATCTCCAGCAACAAGTCAGCCTCCTGTGTCCAGAGTTAACCTGCAAGGTACGTGTGTGGCTTTGATAACCACCTGCAAGGTCAAATTGCACATCATTTACCAACACCTACTTTTCTGCCCCCTCTTCCTGGTGGATTTCTGGGCTCATAGAGCTTCTTCTGGCTTGCTCGTGCAAAACTACTAGGAGAGAACCATCAAGGCCAAAATGTTGTTACTGTGGTGGGTTGGGGTTGGGGTTTATCCTTGTGTGTTAGCATAGGAGATGAACACGATTTTGGTCTGATAGCCACGGCCACAGTGACTGCTGTTCTCCCAAGTCCCTGTGCTGCACAGGCCTGGACAAGCCCCAGCCTACGAGCCTTGAACAGGCTCAGACACAGCTGTATTTTTTTTTACCCTGTTTATTTCAGTTTGTTTCCATGTGATCTATGTAAAAAAATGTGATCTGAAGAACCTCGCTCAGGTGAAACTTCCCCCGCTTTCAGCAGGCTGCCCTGCAAGGGCATTTTTCCATCTCTTTTGACACCTACATGTAGCAATCAAAGGAGAGCAGAAGTCAGGGAGCGTGGCTCATCACAGCTTCTCCCTGTCTGCTCCCCGTGTCCCTCAGTCCCCTTGTCCTCACCCCCCCCGTCAGCTCAGGGACCCCAGCAAACACAGATAGGTCTGGCTACAAGCAAGGAGCAAGGTAGGGTGAAGTGCTGAGGCTGGGAAGCAGAGGCAGCCTGCTGCTTACTTAGGGCAAGTTTATTTCCACCCCTGGGTTTAGCCGTGCGGTGCTGAGGGCTTGTGGGACCCCTCTGCAGAACAGAGCTGGCCCTATTCGCGCTAATTTAAAGGTTACTCCCACAGGGAAGGAGATAAGACTTGGAGGAGTGCCCATTTGTAGGCTTAATCTCAGCCTTTCCAATAATTACGTGCTTGGAGGGACTCATAAAGCTTAACTTTTACGGTGTGTGAAGCCTGGATAACTCTCCAGCATTTCCTTTCATGCTGGGTAGGATTTACCGTCTGGGGACACGTGTAGTCCCGATTAGGTTCCTCAAGCTTTGTTTAGGGGATGTGGAAACCTCTGATGCAGAAACAAAACTGGACAATAGGATCCTCAAGTCCTCTTTCCCTGCCTGCCTGTGACCAGTGCCGAGGCAGAGCCGGCAGGAACGCAGCTCGTCACCTTAGGCAGAGATGTGTTCCAGCAAGACTTCTGATTCTGTGGAAACAAAAGCCATGGAAAACGTCCCGAGACGTGTCTGTGGGAGTTACAAGATTCCTTCCAGGAATTTTTAGGTTAACTTTCTCAACGTTTTCTGTGGAAACAATGGCTTTCAGCATGTTAACACCTTGCGGAGAGTTCTGTGCAATGAGAGCTGTAGGATGCTTGTTCCCTTTTAGCGAACCCAGGCTTCTAAAGCTGGGCATGCACTAAAATCTGAGCTTCCTTTTGGACTGAAGGGCCTGACTCATGTAACTGTAGAGCAAGTTTTGTGTTCCCTGCAAAGCTCCAAGAGAAAAGCCACGGAGAAGAATCCAACTTTTAGCATTTTGAGCCTTGTGATCCTGACTCATGGGTTTTAATGTTTCAGTCCTGGTAATTACAGGTGGATAGATCTAAAATGAATTATATTCGTGTCTCACCTGCGATGTGGAAAAAGAGAATGGCCAGATGTGGAAATGAGCCACGCTGGATGAGTTTTCCATACACAGGCTTTTATTTGGTGACTGTGGAAGAAGATTGCAGTTCAGGGTTTGTGGGATTTGTGTTAAGTAGGGAAGCACAGGCTGGGTTTGTGTTCCTCAAGTAAACTGAGTTCTTAACCATGAATCTGAAGTGACTTTAGGTGAAATCTTCAAATGAAACAAAAAGGTGTGAGTGATATCATTACATGAGGTAAATTGTGACAGTTTGTAGATGAGACCTCAGAGCAGCCTTCCAGTGTCTGAAGGGGGCCTATAGGGATGCTGGGGAGGGACTCTTCATTAGGGACTGTAGTGGCAGGACAAGGGGTAACGGGTTCAAACTGAAACAGGGGAAGTTTAGATTGGATATAAGGAGGAAATTCTTTGCTGTGAGGGTGGTGAGGCACTGGAATGGGTTGCCCAGGGAGGTTGTGAATGCTCCATCCCTGCCAGTGTTCAAGGCCAGGTTGGACAGAGCCTTGGGTGACCTGGTTTAGTGTGAGGTGTCCCTGCCTATGGCAGGGGGGTTGGAACTGGATGATCTTAAGGTCCTTTCTAACCCAAACTATTCTGTGATTCTAAGACTAAGAGACATCTTTCAGATTATAAGGAATTGTGTGATTTCCTATGTGAAATAAGCTAATACTGGCATTGTGAAAGAGCCTGGGGTTCTTGGTTAAATTCCATTTCAGATTATTTGTGCTCATGGATGGTACCAGCTCCCACAGGATCCGGTCTCTCAATCCCTTCCTGGCCAGACCAAGCCGTTGCATCGGCTGCAGGATCACAGCCCTGCACTGAGGGCCTCAGGAGGGCCAGTGGCTGTCACGCGTCAGAGCCAGACTCTGAAAGCATCCTGAAACAGGCAGTTCAGAACGTAGAATCACAGAATAGTTCAGGCTGGAAAGGACCTCAAGGTCATCCAGTTCCAACCCCCCTGCCATGGGCAGGGACACCTCACACTAAACCATCTCACCCAAGGCTCTGTCCAACCTGGCTTTGAACACTGCCAGGGATGGAGCATTCACACCCTCCCTGGGCAACCCATTCCAGTGCCTCACCACCCTCACAGGAAAGGAATTCCTCCTTAGATCCAATCTAAACTTCCCCTGTTTCAGTTTGAACCCGTTACCCCTTGTCCTATCACTACAGTCCCTAATGAAGAGTCCCTCCCCAGCATCCCTATAGGCCCCCTTCAGATACTGGAAGCTGCTCTGAGGTCTCCACACAGCTTCTCTTCTCCAGGCTGAACAGCCCCAACTTCCTCAGCCTGTCTTCATACAGGAGGTGCTCCAGTCCCTGATCATCCTCGTGGCCTCCTCTGGACTTGTTCCAACAGTTCCATGTCCTTTTTATGTTGAGGACCCCGGAACTGCACACAATGCTCCAGGTGAGGTCTCGCAAGAGAACATTTGGGATCCTAGCTGGGAGAGGGGACAGGCTCTCCTCGGGGGAGGCCAGCACCCAGGCACCTTCCTCCTTGCTTTTGTGATGGGTTGTGTGCCCTCAGCTCGTGTGCTCCCCATGTTCACGTGAGAACAGAGGTGTGGTGAGGAGCACCAGCGTGGCTCTATCCTGCAGTAACTTACTGTGTGGAAACCAGGACTGTCCTGCATCTCTGGCCTTCTTTACTTGTTGCATTTGGAGTCCCCGCTCTGCTGCGTTCCCCAGTTCCCCAAGCCTCTCTGGTTTCTGTAGGAGGCTGGAGTCACTCTGTAGAGCACTTCCCTCCATCCATTTGGTTGCCTTCCTTTCCCTGTTTACGGCCCTCGTTGCATATTGGAGCTCACCTCAGTGCAGCAGCACACAATGACAGCCATTGACTTTCTAAGGAAGTTTCCGTTTCAGTGCAGCAGAACAAAGATTTTTAGGGGATTATTTATTTTTCTCCAGCTTTTTTTTTTTTTTCCCCTGGATGGCTTTTGATTTGGAAATGATGAGAGGAAGGAAAGATTTTTCCTATCGGAACACTTCCAGCTCTGTGCCAATGGCTCCTGTGTCTGAAAGGACACGGGGTGGTTTTCCTGACAGTTTTGGAGAAGGAAACAGCAATGTTTTGATTGGGACTGTGCTGAGGTTCATCCCTCTGGATGAAAGAACATGCTTGGGAATGAAACGTGTTGATACCCTCTCCGTGGGTTAGCCGGCAAAGCTTGGAATTGTATTTTAGCTCTCCCATGTCACACATTGATTCACGGATTTACCACCCCCCGTTGACATCAGTCTGAGCACCTCGTATATGTCTCCTGTTTGTCATTAGTGGAGTGATTTATATCCTGTTAGGAAAAGTGCAGAACTCGGGGTTTGAAGCAAACAGGCATACATTAATCAAATTACCCTGGAGGGAGGCGAATCCCATCCAGCTTTTGTGCTGGAGGTAACACGTGCCAGCTGTTTGCTCCAGCTAGGATATTCAGGGTTTGTCAGTCGGAGGAGCAGACCTGTGGCCATTGCACTCCCAGGGAGTTGCATTGCTGAGGACGCAGGCGCCGGGTGAAGGGAATGAGCTGTGTCGGAATGATGAAGTTCTGCTTTGCTTTCGCTTTCCTCAATGTATGGAAAAGCCTGGCCAGGTTTCTCGTGGCACAAAGTGCTCTCAGGGCCCACACTGATGTCACGGTGGATTTCGGAGCTTTCTCAACCTTCCCACCGCAGCCATAAAAGGACGAGCAGTGTGTATTGAACATCCTGTGTTTTGCCCTTGGTATCGGCTCCAGTAAACGTGGCAGATTTTTCCTGTTGTTTTGTTGGAGATCACAGGACCACACAGAATTGCTTTTGTGAATTAACCCAGAAACCGTAACATGGACATACAAAGCCATAAACCCTTACTGAGCTCCTGTCCTCAGCCGCTGGGAAGGGTAATGGGGATACTTCAGGGCATGAGGTTTACAGCAATACAGAGTGCAGCTGTGCAGGGTTGTGATTGTGCCCCTGTGCTGGGCACTGGTGAGGCTGCACCTCGGATCCTGTGTTCAGCTCTGGGCCCCTCACTGCAAGAGAGACATTGAGGTGCTGGAGCGGGGCCAGAGAAGGGCAGCGGAGCTGGAGCAGGGCCTGGAGCACAAGGGTGATGGGGAAGGGCTGAGGGACCTGGGGGGTTCAGTGTGGAGAAGAGAAGGCTCAGGGGGGACCTGATGGCTCCCTACAAGTGCCTGAGAGGAGGATGGAGCCAGGAGGGGCTGGGCTCTGCTCCCAAGGAACAAGGGATGGGACAAGAGGAACCGGCCTCAAGCTGCACCAGGGCAGGTTTAGATGGAGCTGAGGAACAATTCCTGCCCCAGAGGGTGCTCAGGCATTGGAACAGGCTGCCCAGGGCAGGGCTGCAGGCACCGTCCCTGCGAGTGTTCACACAGCGTGGAGGGGAGGC